CCCCAAAACCCCAAAACCCCAAAACCCCGTATATCTTAATCATTATAATTTTTAAATATAATAATAGATAAAATTAAGTTATTAGTTATCTTTAAGATTATAATATATATCTTTCTAGAAAATTCTCTATTAAAATTCCATAGAAAGGAGGACTTTCTAAAATAATCCCTTATTACTATCAAGTAATGAATTTCAGTCTAATTTCCAAGCAGCCTTCATGAGTTAAACAAAATGATCGTCATTATCGATTGATGCGCTAACTGCATGGTAGTAGTCATTCCACTCATCTCTATGAATTTTTCCATCTCTATTTCTGTCATTGAAGTTGCTTAGGAATTCTAGAAAAACTTGATCTTCAGTCATTTGTCCTGAGGTAACCTTGGGATGGAATGAACAATTGTAAGTACCCTTCAAATCTGAGGCATCAATATGACCGTCACCATTTTTATCAAACTTTAAGAAGGCTTTATCTACCATTGCCTGTCTTCTTGCATTCATCTTGCCCTATAAGAATGAGTTAAAATCTATTTTTCAGACTTAATTTTCTAGAAAGTAGGATACATTAAAGATTAAATCACTTACTCTAACTCCAATCAAAAATTCGTCAAAATTAACATGACCATCTTTATCAGTATCAAAGAAGCTTAGTAAAGCCTAGTTATTATTATTTCAATTAGCATACTTACATCTGATTCTTATCTTGAAAGTTTCACTCCGACTTCTTAGAGACCAACAAAGAACTCACCAGCATCAACTTTCCTATTTCCATCATAAGAATCAAGACTTTTAAAGACTTTTCCAAGCGATCTAATGGTCTATGCTCCTCTTTGCATTAGCTGTGCTTTCACTCTATCAAGGACTATTTGAAATAAGTTTATTTATATTTTATACCTTCAATTACATTGATTCTTGGCTGATTCATGGTTTCTCGCTTTAATACGCTTTAAATAATGATTATAAAGTTTTCTAATGAATTAAAAATATGACTGAATGATGGGGTTTTGGGGTTTTGGGGTTTTGGGGTTTTGGGGTTTTGGGG